GCAAGTAAACAACCTGTCAGGTAGCCTGTGGGGCTATTGTATATTTGTATACGCAGTTGCCAACCAGATTTATATTTTCCTTCCGTGATGCTGTGTGGGTTTAGTCATATAAGGGTATCAGAAGGGGCTTAGTTCTGATCGCTCAATGCTGCACTTGTGGGCACAACGAAATGTATGATGAAAAGTTAACTATGGACTTCTGTGAAACTAAACGTTGATAGCCTGGGTCCCAGACTGTTCTTTAGGGCTAATACACAGACCAGCCTGAAGTTAGAAACTGAGGGGATCTGTGGTAAAGTTTTCTTGGGGACATGTTGGCCCTAGAGCTAGACTGTATACTGGCCCTGGAATTCGAAACAGTCTGGCACCCAGGCCAAACGTTAACGATTCCATCAGCATAAAATGTTGGGCTATCGATAGGGGTTAGAAGTGTAGGAAATCTTCTTAAACTAAGTTAATACCTGCTACGGGCACTGTCAATCAAGCACTCAATCAAGTACAGCTTCCTGTACACTCACCACATGGTCTCAATTGAGAGGGTCAGTCTTGCCACTCCATCCTCCCCCGCTAATCTACCATTAGAACCTTTTACTTAAACATAAGATTAACGTCACACAAGGAACACACACAAAGCAAAGCAAAGAAACACACACAGAACGTACGCACACACGCAACACACACACACACACACACACACACGCGCGCGCGCGCACGCACGCACGCACGCACGCACGCACGCACGCACGCACGCACGCACGCACGCACGCACACACACACACATTACTCTGTTCCCCCAGCGACACTTTGCGCACGAGCCTGGTATCCATCCTATATAGCTTAAGAAACGACCCAGTAGCTATATCGGTACCAATCCACAATGAGCTTTCTCGTCTCTTGTCCAAATATTTTCCCGCCCCTGACGTAAAATTGTTCCATTCAGGAAAGTCAGTGCGCATGGCAGACACACCCTTCCGCCATTCGGTTACAACGTGAAGAACAAAGCCGGCCGTGCAGGTGGCGCGTAACTGACAAAGACAACTTTTCCTCGCATCCTTGCACACACCCAAACAGTAGCTACACTGCTCCAGTGTGCTGACACATTGTTCAGTGCATTGTGCGCAATGCGCGATTCCAAGATGAATCAAATTATACCTTTGTACAATGAAAAATGCGAAGAAATAGTACCGTGAGCCAAGCAGATGTGCACTCACAAACACACAGACACAGACCCCCCCCCCCCCAACCACACACACAGACACAGAC